AGACTTCCAGGGAGGGGGAGCTCACCACCTCCCCAGGCAGCTCATTCCACTGTTGCACAACTCTGACTGTCATAAAGTTTTCCCTCAGATCCAGCCAGCTTGCTGTTGCCTGCCTCGGCGTCCCGACCCTGGTATTCCTTGGAGGTCTCCCATGCAAGAACTTGCCGGGGTCGGCCCTGCTTACTTCACCCACTTTTTAAAAACACTTGCGAGGCACCAAAAACGGTATCGGCTGGGGACCTCTGGCTTAGAGCATCAGCCCCCGCTTGCTGGCTGAATGTTGCTTCATCCGGCACTGACCAGTAGAGGGGGGTACCAGACAGGTAGCTCTTGGCTTGCAGGCTGCGATCGGGAACCGCTTAGAGAGAGACAGAGGGACTCCCGTTTCTTTTCCTGGCTCTTCAAGCATTTGCTGCAGCCTCTTGACTTTTTTTTTTTAATGCAGCATTTTGTTTACAAGCATGATTCTACCAATGCCTGGCAAATTTCCCACCAGGCCTTTAGAAGAAGAATCATAGAATCCTAGAATGTTAGAGTTGGAAGGGACCTTGCAGGTCATCTAGGATGTCTGTTGTGGGGAGGGGAAGGGAAAGGAGTTTGTATGCCGCTCTGAGACTCCGAGTGAAGGGCGGGGTATAAATCCAATCTCTTCTTCTTAGCTTGTCTCATTCTCAAGTGCCGTAAGTCCCTGGTTTGTGATTACTTAGTGGGGGATTTAGGGCTGCGGTGGCTCAGAGGTTAAGACGCTGAGCTACAGACCGGAAGGTCTTATAGTTCGGCAGTTCGAGACCCGAGTGCCGCAGGACGGAGTGAGCTCCCGTCTCTAGTTCCAGCTCCTGCCAACCTAGCAGTTCGAAAGCAAGGAACTGCAAGTAGATAAATAGGTACCGCTTCAGTGGGTTGAGAGAGCTCTTTCGAGGACTGCCCTTGAGAGAACAGCTCTGAGAGAACTATGGCTGGCCCAAGGCCATCCAGCAGCTGCGAGTGGAGGAGTGGGGAATCGAACCCGGTTCTCCCAGTTTAGAGTCCCGCGCACTTCACCACCACACCAAAAACCTGGGAGCGTCCATGTGCCAGGCAGGCGCTCTACCACTGAGCCACAGCCCCTCTTTCTCCCCAGTGGGGAGGGTAGAGACGAAGTACGCAGCAGGAGCAGGCAGAGCAGAGGGGGGTGGCTGCAAGCGAACAGTTGGCTGCCGCAGCCGTCGTCCCCGGAGAAGCCGGCCCGGCTGTTCCCTGGGATTGGACTGACTTGAACTCGTCAGCACACAAGCACAAGGCCGGGAGCTGACTTAACTCCGCGTGCCCATGCGTCACGCACCAGCCGACGAACGTTCCGCTCCTCCCAAGTTAGAAGCTATTTCTGTTTCGTTCGGCACACACGGCCTGACCGAGGTGGGCCCAGGCGATCCGTTTTGGTCACATCTGGGGAAGACGAGACTCGCCGGAAAAGAGAATGATGCCGGGGAAAGCGGACGGCAGCCGGAAAACGTCAAGTGGATCGGCTCCGTCAAGGAAGCCACGGCTCTCGGTGTCTTGGTTAGGAGCGCAGACTCTAACCTGGGAGAACCGGGTTTGATTCCCCCACTCCTCCACATGCAGCTGCTGGTGTGACCTTGGGTCAGTCACAAGTTCTCTCAGAGCTGTTCTCTCAGGAGCCGTTTCTCTCAGAGGTCTCTCAGACCCACCTCCCTCGCAGGGTGTCTGTTGTGGGGAGGGGGAGGAGTTTGTAAGCCACTGTGAGACTCCGCGTGAAGGGCGGGGCATAAATCCAATCTCCTCTTCTTCTTCCTCCCCACTCCTCCACATGCAGCTGCTGGTGTGACCTTGGGTCAGTCACAGGTTCTCTCAGAGCTGTTCTCTCAGGAGCTGTTTCTCTCAGAGCTCTCTCAGCCCCCCTTCCCTCACAGGGTGTCTGTTGTGGGGAGGGGAAGGGAAAGGAGTTTGTCAGCCGCTCTGAGACTCCGAGCGAAGGGCGGGGCATAAATCGAATCTCTTCTTCTTCTCTGGTTTGCAAGACCCCAGGCGAGGCTGTTAACGAGAGGACGTTTTGGAGGCCCGTAATTCATAGCGTCCGCCATAAGCATCTTGACAGCACATAAACACACCAGTCTGGCGTAGTGGTTAGGAGCGCGGAGTCTAATCTGGGGGAACCGGGTTTGAGTCCCCACTCCTCCACTTGCAGCTGCCGGTGTGACCTTGGGTCAGTCACAAGTTCTCTCTGAAGTGTTCTCTCAAGGGCAGTCCTCGAGAGAGCTCTGTCAGCCCCACCGACCTCACACGGTGTCTGTTGTTGGGAAAGGAGTTTGTGAGCCGCTCTGAGACTCCTTGAGGTAGTGAAGGGCGGGGTATAAATCCAATCTCTTCTTCCATAGCATCTCAAGGCCTGTATGGAGAACAGCGCTTGAGGTTGTAGACATTTAAATCTCAAATTGATTGGGTGCCTTTGAGCCAGGCTTATAAACAGCTGGTTGTCTGGTCTCCGAGGGTCTTTTCTTTCTTGAGTCCCATGTGGCTCTGCAGGCTAGAAAGAACTGCGTGGGCTGGTGATCCTTTCAGACTCTGCTCGCTAGGCGGCAGCATCTTCTTTCCAGCCCGTGTTGTGCATTTTTATCCTCCTCGGTTCCTTGGCTCGTTTGCAGCTGGGGATCTGGTGCAGCAGGTGTCGGTAACCGTTTCGCTCTCCCCGTGGCTTTGTGGCAGAGCGCAGGCTTCGCACGCGGGAAGTCCCGCGTCCAGTGCTTGCCACCGCTGTGAAGATGAGGCTCGGGCGGAAAGGCGGGGAAAAGTCTGCCGCCTGAGAGGGCAAGCAGGTGTGGTACAGGGCTTGAGGGAGCCCCAAAAAGACCTTGGGGAGAAACTCCTGCTGTGCTGGGAAAGGTGCAATGGCTGTTCAAGATGGGTTGCAAAGACTTTTGGCATCAGCCAGGTAACTCTCTGAACAGCTGGGATCAAAACACGAGCAGTCTAATTTTTTTTAATAACTCTTTTAAGTTCAGCTTCCAATAGCAGCGACAAGAAAATAAGAACTCAGCAGCAGTAGGTTAAACTTAAGGGGCTGTGGTAGCTCAGTGGTTAAGACGCTGAACTGCAGATCGGAAGGCTGGTAGTTCGGCACCCAAGTGCCGCATGACGGTGTGAGCTCCTGTCTCTGGTCCCAGCTCCTGCCAACCTAGCAGTTCGAAAGCAAGAAACTGCAAGTAGATAAGTAGGTAACACCGGTGGGAACGTAACAGCCTCGGCCAGCCACATGACCACGGAAACGTCTTCGGACAGCTCACAAAATAGAATTTTTGCTCACAAGACTCCACAGCTTAGAGGGAACATTGATTTGAACCCAAGGTTCCTGTTGGCTAGGCTATGATCATGGAATCCAGTTTCAGTAAGTGAACGCAGTTGTCATCAACTGGTGCGTGAGGGTTTGGGGAGAGTTGATAAAGAGAGCTCCCCCCTCCCCCCTTTTCCAAAATACTAGAACCCAGGGTATCCATTGGAGCTCATGGGTGGTAGATTCAGGATGGACCAAAGAAAATGCTTCTTTACACAAGGAGTGATTAAAATGTGGAATTTTCTGCCAGAGGATGTAGTGATGGCCACAGGTGTTGATCGCTTTAAAAGGGGATTAGACGGATTCATGGAGGAGAGGTCTCTCAGTGGCTATTAGCCACGGCAGCTGAAGGGAACCTCCATGTTCAAAGGCAGTCAACCTCTGAATCCCAGAGCCAGGTGGCAATATCAGGGGAAGGCCTCTGCTTCTCTGCCCTGTTGTTGGCTGTCCAGAAGAACTGATTGACCACTGTGTGAGACAGGATGCTGGACTAGATAGACCTTCACTGGTCTGATCTAGAAGGGCTCTTCTGATGTTCTTATGAAGGCCTCAGCCTCTCTGCCCTGTTGCTGGCCCTCCAGAGGACCTGGGTGGCCCCTGTGTGAGGCAGGATGCTGGACCCTCACTGGTCTGATCCAGCAGGGCTTTTCTGATATTCTTATGAAGTCCTTGTCGTCTCTGTCCTGTTGCTGGCCCTCCAGAGGAACTGGTTGGCCACTGTGTGATACAAAACACTGAACTAGATGGACCACTAGTCTGATCCAGCAGGGCTCTTCTGAGGTTCTTATGAAGGCCTCGGCCTCTCTGCCCTGTTGTTGGCCCTCCAGAGGAACTGGTTGGCCACTGAGTGGAACGGGATGCTGGACTAGATGGACCTTCACTGGTCTGATCCAGCAGGGCTCTTCTGATGTTCTTATGAAGGCCTCGGCCTGTATGCCCTGTTGTTGGCCCTCCAGAGGAACTGCCTGGCCCCTGTGTGAGACAGGATGCTGGACTAGATGGACCCTCACTGGTCTGATCCAGCAGGGCTCTTCTGAGGTTCTTATGAAGGCCTCGGCCTCTCTGCCCTGTTGCTGGCCCTCCAGAGGACCTGGGTGGCCACTGTGTGAGACAGGATACTAGACTAGATGGACCACTGGTCTGATCCAGCAGGGCTTTTCTGATATTCTTATGAAGTCCTTGTCGTCTCTGTCCTGTTGCTGGCCCTCCAGAGGAACTGGTTGGCCACTGTGTGATACAAGACACTGAACTAGGTGGACCACTAGTCTGATCCAGCAGGGCTCTTCTGATGTTCTTATGAAGGCCTCGGCCTCTGTGCCCTGTTGTTGGCCCTCCAGAGGAACTGGCTGGCCCCTGTGTGAGACAGGATGCTGGACTAGATGGACCACTGGTCTGATCTAGCAGGGCTCTTCTGATGTTCTCATGAAGGCCTCGGCCTCCCTGCCCTCTTGTTGGCCCTCCAGAGGAACTGGTTGGCCGCTGTGTGAGACGATGCCGGTCTAAGTGGACCCTAACTGCTCTGATCTAGTAGGGCTGTTCTTATGTAGATGACTGCCTTTCATTTCTCGCTACTTTTAATTATAGTTGCTCTCCTGTAAGGTTAGGCATCTTCATGAATAACAGTGAGGTACCTGACTACTGTTGACGCCCATCTTTTCCCCTTTTCTCGCAGGATTCATGAATAAAATTTTCCATCCTAACATTGACGAAGCGTAAGTAATCCGAAGCGTTGCTGTGCTAAAGATTGTGTGTCTGGGGCGGGGTCTTCGACTGCAGTTCTGTAAATCTGTTTTCAGCGGTGTCTTGAGTCATGGAAGGGGTGTTTGTGGGAATGGAGTTCTGACGAATACTTTGGGCACGTTTGGTGTTTTCGTGCATTCAAGAGGCGGTCAAAGATGAGGAACCTTCTGCTGATGAAAAGAGGGCGTGAGCGCCGAGGGCTCACGCCCTCTTTTCATCAGCAGAAGGTTCCTCATCTTTGACCGCCTCTTGAATGCACAAAGACACCTTCTGCTGATGAAAAGAGGGAACCCTTGTGGCCGAGGGCTCACGCCCTCTTTTCATCAGCAGAAGGTTCCTCATCTGCGGCTGAGAAACCCCTGATACATGGGGGGGTTTGCATTTTGTAAGGGGCACACTCTATTCCCATGCTGGAACTTGCTGCGGCCTTCCCGCAAACACCTCCCTCCCCGTGCGCTTAGTCTAGATGGGCCATATTCAGCAGGGTAGCCATTTTAAGAAGTCTAAACACAGGCCATGTTTGTTCTGAGAGCCAGTTTGGTGTTGTGGTTAAGTGCGCGGACTCTAATCTGGGAGAACCGGGTTTGACTCCCCACTCCTCCACTTGCACCTGCTGGATGACCTTGGGCAAGCCATAGCTCTGATAAGAGCTGTCCTTGAAAAAGAGCCGTTTCTGTCAGAGCTCTCTCAGCCCTGCCTACCTCACAGGGTGCCTGTTGTGGGGAGGGGAAGGGAAGGGAGTTTGTAAGCCGCTCTGAGACACCTTTGGGGAGTGAAGGGCAGGGTGTAAATCCAATCTCCTCCTCCTCCTCTTCTTCTTCTTCTTATGGCCTGCCAGTCTAGAATCATATATAATCTTCCCAAATTGGAACTTCAGAACCTTCCACTTAGAATAAAGTCAGAGCAATACTAGCTTTCTAGCAGAGGGCAAGATTCGAACTGGGAACTTTTTTGTGTTATTGCCGTTCGCCACTGTGCCGCTTCAGCACCACTTAATCGTAAACTGTGAATGTATTCCTTTTTCTTTGTGTTCACGTGTGTGTTTTTTTCCTTCCCCCCACCAGGTCAGGAACAGTATGTCTAGATGTAATTAACCAGACTTGGACAGCCCTCTATGGTGAGTTCAGTGCGTCAGGGCTTGGAATGCATGTTATTCATTCATTTAGTTATTTATTTTATTTTATTTATACCCCACCCTACCCCAAAACGCCAACTCCAGGGCAGCTTACAACAGAAAACCATAAAACAATAAATCAATAGATGGCAGCCATAGGTGATAATCCAATAACAGAAGGCAAAAACAAGTGTAGTAAACAGACCCACTACTTAAAGATTGCCAAAATGCTGAAGAACAGGTAATAGAAAGTAGCGAATACTAAGTAGCCACATAAGAAAAATGGAAAATGGAAACAATGAAGAACTTGTATAATAATATACTACAACAAAAATCCACAGAATAATGGAGTACGAATATGGTAATACACAGGGGTCGTTTCGTAGAAAAAGAGCTAGGGGAAGTCATTAGCATAACTTATTAGCATATGCCACACCCCCTGACATCACCGGAAGTGTGTCATAAGGCCACACCCCCTGACATCACCGGAAGTGTGTCATAGGGCCACACACCCTGCCCCCAACGGTCCCGGCCACCACCGCCGGCCTTGCAGCTCCACTGCTGAGCCCCACAAGGGGCCCGGCGGTGGACCTGCAAGGCCGGCGGGAGTGCGAGGAAGCCCTGCCAAGGCCCTCCCTGGCCCCAGGCAGGCAGGGGTGGGGAGAGGCAGGGAGGAAGCAACTTACCCTCCCTCTTCTCCTGCCTCCTCCTGGCTGAATGAGGGCCGGAAGCAGGGAGGCCGGAAGCAGGGGGCGGGGCTTCGTCATGTGCCCCGCCCCCCGTACCTCACCCGGGGGGACTGCGATCCCCCGCGATCCCCCCCGAAATGACCTCTGGTAATACAACGTTGTATCTGGATGTTTGATTACAATGTTTCAAAGTTCATCTTTCATCAGGGTGTTCCCTTTAAGGTGCCTGCTGTGGTTTCCATACTTTTACTCACATAGTGGGAACAATGACAATTTAATACAAGAATGGACGCAAATCTCCAATGTGTAATCAGCTCCTGAAGTGCATGTGAGTAAAAGTAGGGAAACCAGAGCAACTTAAAGGGAACACCCTGATGAAGGATGAACTTTGAAACGTTGCAATCAAACATCCGGACACAACATCACATTATTATATTAGATCTCCATTATTCTGTGGATTTTTCTATTGTAGTGTATTATTACACAAGTCCGCCATTGTTTCCATTTTGTATTTTTCTTATGTGATTACTTTGTATTCGCTACTTTCTATTATGTGTTCTTTAGCGTTTTGGCAATCTGTAAGTAGTGAGTCTGTTCACAACACTTGTTTTTGCCTTCTGTTATTGGATTATTATACAAGAGTGTTGTGAACATCATTGGAAGCAATAGGTGATGACAAAAACCCATGCCTCATGTCAGGCAGGGATAGTTACCCCAAGAAACCACAGTGCCCAAGTAGTATCCGGAACAGTAAGGGGATCAAAAAAACTAAGATCATGGCATCCGGCCCCATCACTCCTTGGCAAATAGAAGGGGAAGTCGTGGAAGTAGTGACAGACTTCACGTTCCTGGGATCCCAGATCACCGCAGACTGTGACAGCAGCCATGAAATTAAAAGACGCCTGCTCCTTGGGAGGAAAGCAATGGCAAACCTAAACAGCATGATAAAAAGTAGAGACATCACCCTGCCAACAAAAGTCCGCATGGTCAAAGCAATGGTATTCCCAGTAGTCGTGTATGGCTGCGAGAGTTGGACTATAAGGAAGGCCGAGCGCCGAAGAATAGATTCCTTTGAACTATGGTGCTGGAGAAGACTCTTGAGAGTCCCTTAGACTGCAAGAAGATCAAATCAGTCAGTGCTAAAAGAAATCAACCCTGACTGTTCCCTGGAAGGCCAGATAATGAAACTGAAGCTCAAATACTTTGGCCACCCAATGAGAAGGGAGCACTCCCTAGAGAAGACCCTGATGCTGGGAAAGATTGAAGGTAAAAGAAGACGGGGACGGCAAAGGATGAGATGGTTGGACAGTGTTATCGATGCAACGAACATGAAATTGAGCCAACGGCGGAAGACCGGAAGGCCTGGCGGGATCTGGTCCATGGGGTCGCGGAGAGTCGGACTCGACGGGGCGACTGAACAACAACAACAAAGGGCACTGAGGAAGGGGCTGTGGACAGGGGAGGCCAGAATGATCGAACGTCCGCCACCTCAACCAAAGCCCTGGGGGAACAGCTCCGTTTTACAGGCCCTGCAGAACTGTAATTAGTTCCGCAGGGCCCTGATCTTCAGTGGGGGCGTGTTCCACCAGGCCGGGGCCAGCGCTGAAAAGGCCCTTGTCCTGGGCGAGGCTAAGGGGATGTCCCTCGGGCCAGGGACCACCAGAGGAGGTGTTGGTCAGAAGAGCGTAAAGCTCTCTGGGGCTCATATGGGGAGAGGCGGTCCCACAGGTATGACGGTCCCAGGCCACATAGGGCTCTAAAGGTCAAAACCATAACCTCGAATCGGATCCGGTATTCGATCGGTAGCCAGTGCAGTTGGCGCAACACCAGCTGAGTTCGCTTCAAAGGGCTGGTTCTTACCTATAAAGCCCTTGATGGCCAGGGTCCAGCGTCCTTAAGGGACCGCCTTTCCCCATATGTTCCCCCAAGAGCACTACGGTCAGGGGCGGAACACCTTTTGGTTGTTCCAGGCCCCAAGGACATCAAGTTGGCTGCAACCAGGGCCAGGGCTTTCTCTGCAGTGGCTCCTGTCTGGTGGAATGAGCTCCCAGGGGAGATCTGGCCCCTGCGGGAACTTGCGCAGTTCCGCAGGGCCTGCAAGACGGAGCTCTTCCGCCAGGCTTTCGCATAGGAGCCGCCGCCGCCACTGGACTGCCACCGAGCTGCCATCTCCGACGGTGGATTCGATCTGGATGTGAGCTGGCCCTGGGAAGACGACCAGACGACCTGAAGAACTGGTCAGGAAGGGACGATAGTAATAGATTCCTGAACTTATGCTGATGGGTTAGGCCGGTCAACGGAACCCCATCTTGGACCGATAAGAACTAATATCAAGAGCACCGACATTTTGGTGGGAGGGATTGTTTTATTCTGTTTTTTAACTGTTCAATTATGGCATACGCCTTTTTTGTTAGCCGCCCTGAGCCCGTTTAGGGAGGGCGGGAAATAAATCTAATAAATAAATAAATAAACGTGCGCCTTGGGGGTGGTTACGAGGGCAGAACTAAATTTTGCAAAATAAATAAGTCAGTAAGTCTGCTTGCCCCATAGCTGTTGAGCAGTTTTGTGGTCTTCAGATCCCCCAGTAAGACTTGTTGTGCTTCTCCGATCGAATGTAACTGGAGGCACGCAGTCCTCGCATCTTTCGCAAAGCATAGCACTGTGCCTCCTCTCGAATAAATTCACACCGTTGGCAGGACTGCAGTGGAAGGAGAATCCATTCTCCTCTTTGTCTTTTGCAGGTCAGATTATAGTACTAAAAGCTTCAGCTTCTGTAGAGCTAACAGAATTGTCCCCGGCCTTGTTCCTCAGCCTTGTAGCTGGATGCCCAAATGCACGTCCCTTCCCGTGCAAGGTGTGGTGAACTCCTTTGTTACGAGGGCCAGATCTGTCATAAACATCACTTTGTCGGGCCAGGCCACGAGTGCCATAAGATGTAATGCCAGGTACCAGAGATATAGACTTTATAAAGGACTCAGGCCCAACCCAATTAACGATATTATCTTTTTACTCAAAATACAAACAAAAGCAATTGATTCCTAGCAGTGAAAGCAATTGATTTACTGGGGAGCCCACAGAAGCTCCGATAAATGCATTTAATCAACACACAAGACTAGCTTTTCTCTGAAGGGATACTATAAAAGGGGCAGTATCTTGTATTTCTGTACATACCAGTTGCTTGCAGGCCTCGTCAGAGACCTGGACGGGCATTATGTTTGACACCCCTGGTGTAGTGGGTAAGAGCAGCGGACTCTAATCTGGGAGAACCGGGTTTGATTCCCCACCCCTTCGCATGCAGCCAGCTGGGTGACCTGGGGTCAGTCACAAGTTCTCTCAGAGCTGTTCTCTCGAGAGCAATCCTTGAAAGAGCTCTCTCAGCCCCACCTTCCTCACAGGGTGTCTGTTCCGGGGAGGGGAAGGCACTCGTAAGCCGCTTCGAGACTGTTTAAGGTAAAGAAAAGTCGGGTATAACAACCTACTCCTCTTTTTCATTAGCTTCCCTCTGCCTTGATAGCATCCTAACTTGAATGGTAAACCATCTGGGAAAAGGCGTTCCGTCCCTCCAGTCTAGCTCCTTGCACTCTGGTGCTAACATAACTTCGTATAAACTCAGGAGTTCCCTTACTTCAGTGCGTTTTCAAACGATGCCTTCGGAGATGCTAGCTGGTCCCTATAAAAAGCTCCAGTCGACCAATGCAGTCAGTGGGAGACCTTCCCCACGACATTCTGGCCTCTCCCTTATACGTAGAACCCAGGGCCAAATTTCTAGCAAAGACATTGACAGCCCTGTACCCCCTGTCTGATTATGAAAAGATGGCCCTTTTGCTCTCAGATGAGGACCCCTTCATTTCTTCAAGATTGGCTTTCTTCGCCTTGGCCGCGAGAAAAATTAGAGCCAAGAAATCAGATAGTCCCATTGCAACCAAGTGAGTGATTTTAAAAGGTCTTATCGGTTTTAGTTTGGTGTAGAGCCAGTTTGGTGTCGTGGTTAAGTGCGTGCACTCTAATCTGGGAGAACCGGGTTTGATTCCCCACTCCTCCACTTGCAGCTGCTGGTGTGACCTTGGGTCAGTCACAAGTTCTTTCAAGGGCAGCTCTCGAAAGAGCTCTCTCAGCCTCACCTCCCTCACAGGGTGTCCGTTGTGGGGTGGGGAAGGGAAAGGAGATTGTAAGCTGCTCTGAGACTCCTTTGGGTAGTGAAGGGCAGGGTATAAATCCAATCTCCTCTTCTTCTTTTAAAGACCAGGGGTTGAGATAGGTGTTTTATACGTTTTAATAGAGGTTGAAGCATTCTATTATATGTTAATGTATCTATTTTCTGAGAGTGTTTTGGTATTGTGAAGGCTTATGGCCATGTACAATAAAACGATACCTACCTACCTACCTAATAGAGGGCCCCATAGTGGCAACGGTCACCGTGGAAGAATATTTGCAGGCCGTTTCAGACCTTGACATTTCCCACATGGTGTTTTCTTCTGTGTCGGTTCTTCCCAGATCTCACCAATATATTTGAGTCGTTCCTGCCCCAGTTGCTGGCCTATCCCAACCCCATAGACCCCCTTAATGGTGACGCGGCAGCCATGTACCTTCACCGACCAGAAGAATACAAACAGAAAATTAAAGGTAAGGGCTTTTTTTCTTGTGAGGCAGAAGCCTTTTGCGTCCTCCAGTTGACATTTCTCAGCTAGGGCATAAGTTCGCTTAAGGAAGGTAAAGGTGAGCTCCGAGAAGGCCCCCACCTGTGGCCGAAGATCCAAAGAGTGGTGCTGCTGTGTGCGGGGCAGAGCCATCCCTCCTGAGCTAAGACAAAAATGTGTGAGCCGGAGACTAAAAAACTGCGCTTGCTTTCACTCAGCTCAGAGGGAACACTGGTCACCAGGGGTCATTTCGTAGAAAAAGAGGTGCAGGAGCTCATTAGCATAACTCATTAGCATAACTTATTTGCATAGGCCACACCCCCTGACATCACCGGAAGTGTGTCAGAAGACAACACCCACCGCTCAGGCTCCACTGGACTGTTTTGGATTGCTAGCTATTGGGGGAGGGGGGGAACGTGCAGATCTGCCCTCGCAGAGGAGGGAGAGCTTGTACCTGAATAAAAGCTGGTCTTAAAGGTGCCACTGTACTGTTTTGGATTGCTAGCTATTGGGGGAGGGAACGTGCAGATCTGTCCTCACAGAGGAGGGAGAGCTTGTACCTGAATAAAACTTGGTCCTAAAGGTGCCACTGGACTGTTTTGGATTGCTAGCTATTGGGGGGGGGGAACGACATGCAGATCTCGCAGAGGAGGGAGAGCTTGTACCTGAAGGTGGGCCGGGGGGGGGGGCTCTGCAACTTACCTGGCTGCTTCTTGCTCCTTGTGGCCCAACTGAGGGCTGCTGGGAGCAGGGGGCGTGGCTTGTTGCATGTGCCCGCCCCCTGGGCTCCTTACTGCCGGAGCTCCGCTCCTGTGCGCCCCCCCAGGAAATGATCCCTGCTGGTCACTCTGACGCCCCTGTGTCGCTTCCAGTGCAGACCTGGAATTGACCTGGAATGCTCTGGGACCCACCCAGAGCTCTAGGGTTAAGCTGTAAGAGCTTGGGGAAATGCTAGAGTGCCGCACCGTGACATTACTGGGCTCTCACCATAAAGTCTGATCCTCCCTCCCCCATCTTTGGCTGTGGCAGCAGGGGGGCGGGGGTCTCTCGCCGAAGCAAGGAGACCTTGCTAGCCGAGCTGTGACCCATGAATGCTCATTAAGGTTACTCGTCTTTAAGACACCACTAAATCTTGTTTGAAGCAGCCATGGAAGGGGTCGGGCACATACATGTGCTGTCTCGCTCTCTCTGCCCTGTGCCACGGAAATAACGGCCACAAACAGCTTTAAAAGGGGATTAGATAGATTCATGGAGGATAAGTCTATCAGTGGCTACTAGCCATGGTGACTAAACGGAATCTCCACATTCAAAGGCCCTAATCCTCTGAATCCCAGAGCCAGGAGGCAACATCAGGGGAAAGCCTCGGCCTCCCTGCCCTGTTGTTGGCCCTCCAGAGGAACCGGCTGGCCCCTGTGTGAGACAGGGGGTTGGACTAGATGGACCCTCCCTGGTCTGATCCAGCAGGGCTCTGCTGATGTTCTTATGAAGGCCTCGGCCTCTGTGCCCTGTTGTTGGCCCTCCAGAGGAACCGGCTGGCCCCTGTGTGAGACAGGGGGTTGGACTAGATGGACCCTCCCTGGTCTGATCCAGCAGGGCTCTGCTGATGTTCTTATGAAGGCCTCGGCCTCTGTGCCCTGTTGTTGGCCCTCCAGAGGAACCGGCTGGCCCCTGTGTGAGACAGGGGGTTGGACTAGATGGACCCTCCCTGGTCTGATCCAGCAGGGCTCTGCTGATGTTCTTATGAAGGCCTCGGCCTCTGTGCCCTGTTGTTGGCCCTCCAGAGGAACCGGCTGGCCCCTGTGTGAGACAGGGGGTTGGACTAGATGGACCCTCCCTGGTCTGATCCAGCAGGGCTCTGCTGATGTTCTTATGAAGGCCTCGGCCTCTGTGCCCTGTTGTTGGCCCTCCAGAGGAACCGGCTGGCCCCTGTGTGAGACAGGGGGTTGGACTAGATGGACCCTCCCTGGTCTGATCCAGCAGGGCTCTTCTGATGTTCTTATGTGCCCCTGACCAGATCTTGGCTGTCTTTGCAGGGCAGGGCGGTAAGCCCTTTGGCAAGCTGGGAGTGAGCTGGACCGTGTCTGGAGCATCCAAGAGGGGCTTGGCTGAAACTGCTCCCAAAGGGGTGGGAAGCAACACCAACACTTAAGCAACAGATGCTGCCAGGAGCATAGCATCACAGAGTGGGAAGGGCCCCTAGAGGCCACCTAGTCCAACCCGCTGCTCAACGGGGCATCAGCCTCGAGCATCCCTGACCAGCTGCTGCTTAAAGACTGCCAGGGAGGGGGGAGCTCACCACCTCCACCGGCAGCCCATTCCACTGCTGATCTCCTTGTACTTTATTTTTTTTTATTTTTTCCCCCATAATGGAAGTTTGGTGTGGGGGTTAAGTGCGCGGACTCTAGTCTGGGAGAGCCGAGTTTGATTCCCCACTCCTCCACTTGCACCTGGCTGGATGACCTTGGGCAAGCCGCAGTTCTGATAAGAGCTGTTCTTGAAAAAGAGCAGTTTCTCTCAGAGCTCTCTCAGCCCCACCCGCCTCCCAGGGTGTCTGTGGTGGGGAGGGGAAGGGGAAGGCATTTGTAAGCCTCTCTGAGACACCTTTGGGTAGTGAAGGGCGGGGGTATAAATCCAATCTCTTCTTCTCTCAAGAGCAGTCCTCGAAAGAGCTCTCTCAGCCCCACCGGCCTCCCAGGGTGTCTGTTGTGGGGAGGGGAAGGGAAAGGCGTTTGTGAGCCGCTCTGAGACTCCTTCGGGTAGTGAAGGGCCATGGGGTATAAACCCACTCTCTTCTTCTCTTTTTTTAATAAGCATTTTTTAGCTTTTACAAACAAACAGTAAATACAAACAGGTGACATGATTTCTACAGTGTCTCCTTCATATATTGGCACAACCTTTAAAAAACAATTGCTGAATTAATAAAGCATAAAATCTATATATTTAGTAGATAAAGGGATCGTCCTCGATGTTTGTTGTAGGAATGTATGAAAAGAATGCAAACCATTTTTCTACAAAAACAGATTTTGCTGAAGAGTTTCTGCAGCTAATAAGTGAGACACAATCTTATCCATCACTATTACATCCCATAAGTTCGGGAACCATTGTCTAAGTGTAGGGTTTTTTTCTGCTTTCCACAATTTGGCCATCCAGTCCAACACTCTGTCACACAGTGGCCAAAAATACCATGGGCCATCAGGAGGTCTAGCAGTGGGGCCAGGACACTAGAAGCCCTCCCACTGTTGCCCCCCCCACCAAGCACCAAGAATACAGAGCATCTCTTGCCCCAAACGGAGAGCTCCTATCTATACCTTGTGGCTAATAGCCACTGATGGACTTCTGCTCAATATGCTAATTCCCTCTTGAAGCCGTCCATGCTTGTAACCGCCACCACTTCCTGTGGCAGTGAATTCCATGTGTTAATCACTCTTGGGGTGGAAAAAGTACTTCCTTTTATCCGTTCTAACCCGACCGCTCAGCCATTTCATGGAGTGCCCACAAGGAGTTCTTGTCTTGTGAGAAAGGGAGAAAAGTACCTCTTTCTCCACCTGCTCTTTCCCACGCATAATCTTATAAACCTTGATCATGTCACCCCTCAGCCGTCATTTCTCCAAGCTAAAGAGCCCCAAGTGTTTTAACCTTTCTTCATAGGGAAAGTGTTCCAACCCTTTTATCATTCGAGTTGCCCTTTTCTGCACTTTTCCCAATGCTATAATATCCTCTCTGAGGTGTGGTGACCAGAACTGTACACAGGACTCCAAATGAGGTCACACCATTGATTTAAATGAAGTCCTATGATTTTTTCCATTGTTGGCATAATAACATCCCAGAATGATTTTATCTCAGGGCGCGACCACCGACAATGTCAAAAGGAACCTGTCTGCCCCCAGTTTGGATCGGGCGTTCACCCCTTTGCGGAGCGTGGGCCACGACATCTGCCGATTGTAAAACTCTTCTTTTTCTCTTTTTGTCCTCTCCAGAATACATTCAGAAATATGCAACAGAGGAAGCGCTCAAAGAGCAGGAAGAAGGTACCGGGGACAGCTCTTCGGAGAGCTCCATGTCTGACTTTTCAGAAGACGAGGCCCAGGATATGGAATTGTAGTAAATGAGGTGCCCTGCTTTTCAGAGAGACTTATGACTTCCTTAACCGTGCGCTGAGAAGCAGACAGTAATATTCATATTTAAACAAAAAGCAATTTTTTATTACTAAACAAGGTTTTTATGAATAATAGCATTGAGATATATATACATATATATATATCACCCCTTTAGATCTTGATTTCTTGGTCATTTCTCCGAAATCCGAAAAGTGCATCGTAGCGCATCTCCCACATTCCACTTCGGTAGCTGTAACACAGCCCAGACGCATGCGCGCACCGCCTCCCGCTCTCACAGTTTTCCATTTCGAGCGTAAATCAACTCGTGGGCGACTGAAACTCGTCAGCCTAAACAACTGCTTTGCTAGGGAAGGTCTCGGTTGTTCCCCATTGCCTTTAAAAAAAATATGTTAAAATTAATGGTTCCAAAGACGGCAAACACCCCCTGGATGCAGAAATGGAAACGGCACTTTCGGAACGGAGAGGAGAAATCGGGGAAGACGTATTCTAGGGAGATGAGGCAGTGAAATCGGAAAGATGCTCGCTCAGGTCAGCGTGGCCTGCTTTCGTACCTTGAACGGAGTTGCGTTTTTCAAAGCAAACACGCCCAACCCACCCGAAAGCCCAAAGTCCGTCGGAGAATCATTTTTACAAACCGGCTTGGATTTTCAGTACTTTTTTTTCTGCATGGACTTTCTGTCTGCCTCGGAGGCCTGTCGCGATGAGTTCTGGTTTGCTTGGGGAACCTTTAAATACCTGCCTCGAGACCATAAAGTCACCTCGTTGGTCTGGATGTGGATAGTTTTCTTTCTTTTCTTTCCTTTTTCTTTTTTTGAAGGGGCACCAAGCAACTGCTATCCAAAGGTTGGCTCAGTTTGTCCGGAGGTACATCATGTCCAACCCGTTTTGATCCCAAGTTTTGAAAATGCCAACAGTTTAAAAAAAAAGAAAAGCCGTCCCCGTCCCCCATTCCCCGCCCTCTGATGTCTTTGCTTTGCGGGCCGTCCCAGAAGAGATCGGAGCCCACGGCCAGTTCAGTCGGCCCCTTGGGCCACCGATCACGACTCCCATCGGCGCATGCCTTCTTCAGCAGGTCACTAGCGCCCTTCCTGCGAGGCGGTACGGCAGACCAGACCAGACAATCGAAGAGAATCCGATTGGGATGGGAGGGGGACAGAGGCGGCGTTTGTGCCGATAGGAAATTACTGACGTGCGCTGACGTGAAAGATGCTTCCGATTGGGGGGGAAAGGTTTTTATTCTGGTGTATTTTGAACACATGAAGGTCCTTCTCTCTCTCTCTTCTTTCTCCCCCCCCCCCCCGCCCTTTAATGATAAGAGTGCCTCTTATCAAAAAAAATTGCCTACCTGAGATGTTTGATGATACTTGAAATATGGCAAAGAGTAACCCGGCAAAAGACGCTGGATTTCCAGTCTGGATTGTTGCTTGTGTTCTTTTGAGAAATGTTTTTGGACAGGATGTGTTTGAAGGGGTGGGAGGAGGCGGGAGTTTTGGGGTGTGCAGCCTTTGGGGACGGGGCATACGGGATTTGACTGGGCATTGACTTGATCAGAACACTGAATGTTAAGCCACGCTCGAGAACGCTGCCGTCTAACGCCCTTCTGTTTTCCTCTCCGAGTGGCAGCGGGGTGTGGTCGGGGGAGGAAGGAGACCACAAATCCGAAAGCATAATCAGTTCGCTTCCCCCCCCCCCTTCCTTTTTGGAAACATCTTTGTGTAAAGTAGACTTTTCCTTTTGGCATGATTATTTTCCTTTAATAAAGCAAAAAGCATACCGAGCATTGGAATGTTACAGGCATGAAGCAGGAAAAAAAAAACCCCAACAACAACAACCACCAAAAAGTGAAGGTCTTTTTCTTTCTAATTAAAAAGCATCAACAATTGGGCTTGTGGTTAATCGCCGAGCAGAACCTCTCTGCTCGAGCCAGCGTGGCTTGTCGGAGAGTTGAGCATTAGCTGTGGAACACGTAAGGGTGTGCCATGGCTTTGATCTGAGCCAGCTGTGTGACTGGGCCGGGTGGGGTGGGTGAGAACTGGGCTCCCGCTGTGGGTCCCCGTGTGTGCCCTGCTTTGGGGGATGAATTGAGGGTGCTCTTTTGGTCTAGACTTTTAAGTGCTGGGCCGGCAGGGGTGACAGTGATACCGATTTACACAAAATAAATTGTATTTTTTCCCCCAGTATTGTACATAAAAAATATTAGCATTCTAATTCCTTTTCCTTCATTCAGGTTACTTAAAAAAAAAATAATCAGTCCCGACCTGTGATCGGACATCACTGTCTCTTGACACAGCTGTTTTGTGTGTCCCCCTCCCCTTCCCACACACACACAATTTTGGATTTAAGCTTGCAAAATAAATTCCCGGCGGACACACAGTCTGCAATAGATTCCCCCAAAGATGCACTATTGACTCATCTTCTTCCCTCCCCCCATCCCCATGCTATAAAGGCCCAGTCTATCGCTTTTCCGCTGAGTTGTTGATTTAACTGCTCAGGTGAAGCAACGGCAGGCCTTGGCCTGGCCCAGCAGCAACAGCATCTCCCATCCGCTGGAGCTTGAGTTTCGCACTTGGGCCCCAGCAGCTTAGCTGGCTGCAAAAGATTCCCCTGTCTTGTACCGACCTTCAGAACAGTTCCAGCAGGCCCAGGGAGCTTAGTCTCGGAGCCACTTTTGTGAGCATAGAACCACGTGTCTCTTTCCCGTGGGTTGGTGCGCCACGGATCCGATCTCGGAGCAGTCTTTGCTCTGACCGCGTCTCCCCCATCCCCCCAAATGCCCCCCCCAGCCTTGCTAAGTTTTCCTCGCTCACACATTTGCCGCACTCCCAACTTACAGGCGGAACGAGAAAACCCCACTCTGGTTAAGTACCCAACCAAACCTGGCGGTTCTGAAACTCCAATTTTAATTTTGAAGCTGCCTCCCGTTAAGTTGACCATCGGACGCCCAAAGTCATCCCCTCCCCCCGGTGGTCTCCGACTCTGCCATTCCCACCCAGGCCACGGCCGCGGAGTTGTGTCTTCGCCCTTTGCTGTGTTCCACTCACTCTGTCAGTAAGAATTGTGATCTCCCTCCTGTTTTTTTTTTTGTTTTTTTTTAAACGAATCTCCCTTTTGTACGGGGGAAACCGTCTTCTCGATACATAGAGTTCAGCCCCTTTGCTGTCTCAGTAACCAACGAAGCACACAGATATTTATTCCCCTTTCCCTCTTCCTGGTCTCCGAGCCTGGCTTTCCGTTAGCTCTTCCTTGTTGCATCGGCGAAAGTTTCCGGATAAAAAGAGAGCGCGGCGTACGAGCAAAAGGTCACCTAAGAAGCGTGGGGCACCGGTTGGAGCACCGGGCCTGGTCAGGCGAACCGGCGAACGCCAAGAGACCACGGAGGGGAAAGTCCACAGCCTGGGAGCGCCACGTCCACAACTGTGCCTCAGCCACGTTTTAAGTGTGTAGCGGCAAGGTCCATGGCCATTTGCGCCAAACCCCTTGCGTTTGCGGTCACTCAATGTCCTGTTCTCATAACAAGGGGTGGGTGGGT